ATGCGGTGAAGGGTGCGGAGGTTGAGGTGGGGGGTGTGGACATTGAGGAAGAGGTTGTGGGGGTTGAGGAGGAAGAGGTGGGAGGGGGCAGGAGTGGGAGGAGGAACAGTAGCTAGGGGGGCAGCAGACACAGGACCGGCACAGGGCAGCACGCTCTGCAGCAGGGCCTGCAGGTTTGAGCACATGGCACGGTCCTGAGCAAGCTGCTCCCAGCGGAGCTGCAGGTCCTCCTGCATCCAGGCCTGGATGGTGCGGTACAGGGCTTGCACGGCACCCAAGTGCTGGTCCCACTACCTCTGCAGCGTGGTGGTTGTCCTGCTGAGGCCAAGGTGTGGGAGCTTGTCCTGGTTTGGGTGATGCACCCTGTACAAGCAGCTGGTGCAGCTGTAGAGAAAGAAGAGAAGTGGTCAGTTCTCCCTGGGGACACAGTGGATGATGCCCAGCCCCGCCCCCTGTGACGTGAGGGCAACCATGCCCTGAACCGTCAGAGCCGATGTGCTTGCACAGAGGCCATGGTCAGGATGTCTGGCTCCCCCCAGGACTGGGAGCTGCCCCAAGACCACACCCATGCCCCATGTGCCATGTATAGTGCGGCCGGGGGGGAAACGTCCCCTGCTTCTGTGTGGGGGGGCGTGTGAAGGGAGAGCGTCCTGCTGGGTCCTGCCCTGGGGTTGGGAGCGTGTCAGGTCTCTTCACACACACGTGTGCCTATTGGTCCATGGCCCTTGGGTGTCACGCAGCTGGAGCCACCTGCCCAAGGGTGGCATGGCACGTGCTCGCATGTGCACAGGTGGCTGCATGATCCGGTATGACCCACATGCACAGTCCCTGGTCTCCCTCCCTGCCTCCCCCTGGGTAGGGGACAGTGCTGGCACTTACCTGGTATGGCCTCCCCGGACGCCCCTGCCGACTCTGGTGCCGGGACAGCTAGTGGTGGCCCCTCTGCTGCACCCGGGTCAGGGACCTCAGCTCCCAGCTCGCTGCCCTCCCCTCCCCCTGCTGTGGTGCTTCCCCTGGTGGCCCTGGTGTCCCCCTGCCGCAGCTCCTTCACCTTCAGGCGCACCTGCTCCTGGGTGCGCCTGTGGCCTTTCCCCCGGACGCCCCTGCCGACTCTGGTGCCGGGACAGCTAGTGGTGGCCCCTCTGCTGCACCCGGGTCAGGGACCTCAGCTCCCAGCTCGCTGCCCTCCCCTCCCCCTGCTGTGGTGCTTCCCCTGGTGGCCCTGGTGTCCCCCTGCCGCAGCTCCTTCACCTTCAGGCGCACCTGCTCCTGGGTGCGCCTGTGGCCTTTCCTGGCCTTGGTGGCCACTATGAGGCCGTAGATGGCCACGTTCCTCTGCCTAGTGCGGAGATCATGGACGTTGGAAGCCTCCCCCCAAACCTCAATGAGGTCCATGATCTCCACACTAGTCTATAAGGGTGTGCACCTTCTACGGCCCTTGGCTGGCCCCTGGGTGCTGGGGGACTGTGCGGGGGATGGCTGGCTGCCACTGGATGGGATTGTTCTAAGGGCTACTATCAACATCAGGGAGGCCTTGATGTGTACTTTGAAAATGAGGGGCACTGACATAAACCCAAGCTACAACTCCTGCTCCAAAGCAACACATAACCAGAGTGGCCCCCAGGGGAAACCGGGAAGGGCTGGAGGCCAGCTAATTCAAATTAAGTGTCTACACAGCACTTATTTCCAATTAGTTATTTCGAATTTGGGGTTACTCCTCGTAGAATGAGGTTTACCAAATTCGAATTAAGCACTCCGCTATTTTGAATTAAATTTGAAATAGAGCTATGGCTGTGTAGATGCTATTGAAGTTAATTCAGAATAATGGCTGTTATTTCAAATTAACTTTGTAGAAATACCCTGAGGGTTTGAAACCCCTGAGCCCATCGATGACTCTACCCCAGCAGCTGCCAGCTGGTCACTGGGAACTGCAAACCCCATTGGGCATCCTGTGGATGATCAGCTCCTCCTAGTGGTCAGTGTCACACACAGCCTGGGGCTGTTCCTCTGCATGGCTGTGGAGCAGCGTCACTTCACAGTCACTGTGCACACCCCAGCTGCTCCTTCAGGGGCTGGTCTCCTTCTCTGCGTGATGCAGGGTGAGCAAGTCATCAGCTTCCTCCCACCCAGGAGATCAGTCACTATGGGTATGTCTACACTAACCCCCTAGTTCGAACTAGGGGGGTTAATGTAGTCATACGGAGTTGCAAATTAAGCCCAGGATTTGAATTT